GCAAACAGGAAAAGTTGCTACCTCTCATCTTCCATAAATCTTAAAGACAGTTCTGATACGAACAGAGAGCGAGTAGCTGCTGTCCCATACCCGATTCCTACGGCGCAGCTTGCCGACCACCTGTCCCATCACAGGGGAGAGCAGGAAAAGCAGCTCCAATTGCTCCTTTCCTCTTTCCACATGAGGTTAAGCAAGTGCTAGAAGTCTGAGTGACTGAAGGGAAATGCTTACCTCAGCCTTCTCCCCAGAGGGAAGAAGCTGATAACTAGCCACCAATTACATTCCCTAATTCTCTACTCTGATCCTTGCACTAAGGAGGACATATTAGTGTGGGCTAACTTGTATCAGCTCCCTGTTCTCCTTATCACACAGACCAGAACATGTTAATTACCAGATATCGACACCCATACACAACCTGTGCTCCCTAGAATCACATATAAACTGTGACATGAATCTCTATACTTGCTCTATCATTAAAGGGTACTCTCTCCAGATCAATGCCATAGTTAACAGAAAAAAATTACAGGCTGTTTCTGATCCTTGCCACTAAGCAGTCCACCCCAGATCACCAATCTGACCCTCACAGAGGGATGCAAATGCTACCTTGCTACCTTTTTGTGTAATGTCGGACAGTCTTGAAAGAAAATATTATGCAACCAGTCCCATCAAGTTGTTTATTTTCATCTTTTAATGTAAATATCTATGCCTTGCAGATCATTCTATTCCTGATTTTTTTTCCTGTTTCGAGTCTTTATGAATATACTTCTCGTATTTCATTTTAAATTATCCATCCTCTAAAAGTAGGACTCTTCCGTGAAACAGTAGAAGGGAGTAGAATTTTGAAAAAACTACTGCCAAATGTTTTAAATATTCTTTTCAGTATCACTTTAACGTTCTTCTGTTGACTACCTTAACTTCTAATATAACTGTTCTATAGCACATCAGTAACACAAAGATATCTTTGTAACAACACAGTCAAATTCAGGCCAAGAAATGCAAGATTTGAGCTTCAAGATTGTTTTCTTCCAGCTGCATTCATCTTTATTATTGATAGGCAGTTATTTGCAGCAGTGATAATACTTCACATTCACATTGAGGCTGATGACAAGAAGGGCTTCCAAAACCCAGAATATAAATTGGAACATCCCTATCACATTCCCATTTACCATTTCTTTCCAAAAAGATTATTTGTTTTATACTGTCAGATTATCATCCTCACCAAATTACCACTGACCAACTGGATGAAGAACAAGTCACACTGGAAATTTAAAGCTCAACACTATCATATTTTTATCACTGTTTCAGTGTGCTTAAAGTATGGTCTGTTAACAGGTTGCCTTTCTGTCCCGTCCTGCCCCGCCCCCCCAGAAGAAAACAAAAACGCACATTTGGGGAGGAGGAGACAATCTCAAAAACCATTCACATTTTATTGTGTCTGAAAGGTAGTTTTGAAACTTTCAGACTTGGTCTGAAAGTCAGTCCCAGCTGACTCTGAGGTTGATAATCCCCTATCACTGAAAGACAGGGAAAGTCACATAAAGAACTTCACACCAAAACCCCTCAAAACAACTCTTAAGTGAAAGAGAAGGGGGGACAGGACACGACACACCACAACATCTGCATATATTTGGATAAATTAATTCAGAGTAACAAACACGACTGTATGACTAACTAATTGCTCAAAGAGTGTCCTGCAGTCCTAGGAAGTGCTGAGGATTTTGGCTAAAACTTTGTTTGCACTCTGGTCATCCCCTAGTTTCACATGCAGAAATACTGAAAACAAAAAATAGGTTAGAAAGGGACACTGACATGGATAGCCGCTGATTAACCACTTCACCCCCAGCAACAAAACTTCCGAATAAGATGCAAGCCTGTATCAAAGGATGAACATTTTTAGCAGAGCTTAACTGAAGGACGTTAAGATGGGGGTTTGCCTGGTAACATGCCTTTTCTGCTTACGAAGCTGAGAAAGTACAGCCACAACATAGCAGTAAATGTACTACTCTGTTAAGTTTATTTTTACTCAAAACTTGATTATGTTAAAAATGACTGCACTAGGGAAAATAGTTAAATGCCTTTAAGGGTTTTCAAATCCAGATGAGAGAACATTCACGTACAGTCTATTCAGTCAACATCTTCCTCTATTTCCTGTGCTGTTATTTTATGTTGTGATCAATATTTCTCAAACATTATTCTCTCTGCTGCAAAATCAAAATGGAAGACCGACTGTAACAACACTATCCTAAGAATACTTCGTTTGCCCTTTTATTACTATAATTAAAAGAATATTACTGTTTTCAACTCCCTAATCCAATCATCCAGAAAGATAAGAATTAGGAAAAACAAGGAAAAGAATGAAGGATTTTAAGAGTTAAGTCACTTGTTTTCCATTTAACAAGCCTTATGGCACAATGCACTTGTAAATAACTAGCATCTCCCAAGTCGTACACATTAGCTGTGGATCTAAAACAAAACCATCAGAGCCTGCTTTGCTTTCCTTCAGTGTACAAATGTGTACAAATTTAAATGGATTTTGCAGTTGCAAGTAACATCTCCTTCTGCACACTCACAGCTTGCCCTCTACCCTGCCCCCCAAGGGAGAAGCTTCTGCAGATCCTCACTGTATTAGCAATCAAAGCAAGATAAGAAACACACAGTATTAAACTGCATAACGTATACGTCTGTTGATTGATAAGTAACCTTATTTAATCATAGTAGCTTGTATGTTAAGCACTACAATACATTACAGTTGCTATGGCATTTAACCGCAAGTGCATCCAACACTTTCCTTATCAAGTATACAATATAAATTGAGACTTTGTTCCCTGTCATTTCACACCCAAGCCAGAAGAGCAATAATTGAGAGCACAACATACCTAATTTAGTATTTCACGTTACTAATTTCATAGTAGAAAACACAGGAGCCAAGTTCATATTTCAACTAAACCAGAGATTGGCATTTTTTGTTAGTAATCTTGTACAGCATTCATAGCAGGCACAATTTATTAGAGTAAGTTTTAAAATAAAAGATAACCTTATATAGTTTTGGGGAGGAAACAGTTTCAGTATAGCACTTAACATACCATTTGGAGGGGCAGAAAGTGGCCCCGTTTCCCCTGTATCTGCTCACTAGCATAGTGATGCCAAAAAAGGGCATCAGCTGCCATCATACTGCTTCTTGTAATCTTTGATCTGTCGTGGAATATTTTAGCTTTAACATGTTGTCTGCTAAACACACTTTTAAGACCCCGTTGATATGAACTGGACTATACACAGCATACATCTTGGAAGTACTATTCCCAAGTACCTTCCTAAATCGGGCTGCAAGTGTAAAACCAGCACAGTTAGCACTGAGATTATCTGCATGGGTTTACTTGTCCTAGCTCAGATGATAAAGTACACTGCAATAAAATACAGCCTGTACCATAAGCTACATTAACAAGTTTTGGACTGGATATATTGCTGTGATTTCTAACACTAAAACAATAACAAGGATATTTTTACACCATAAATAGGTTTTCTGATTTACATTTTGAAGGTTCTTCCCACAGCAAAAAAGTGAAGGCCACAACTCAAAACTTTGTAAGAGGCTCATGTCCCAGCTGAATTCAGGCCTAGATGAAAGCTTCCATCCTGACATACAAGATGACTTCATCTTAACAGCCCAGCACAATTCAATGACTATATGTAAAAACCCATAGCTATGGGTTTTTTAAAAATTTAAATTTAAACTTTTAAAAATCTGTAACATACAGCTGAAGGCTGTGAAGAGCCTTAGCTGAGAAATGCACTAGTTTACAAAAGATTGAGCATCAGAGAGAGAAATTAATGCTGATAAAGCTTTCGTGAAGTCATAGCCTGTAAACCTCGTTTAGTACCTCTGGTCAAAAAACATGGTGAAGAAACAGAAGCAGCATTGGAAGAAAGTTGACAAAACGTTAACAAAAAGAGTTTTTCATCTGCATCCCTTAAATAACTTCAGAAGTAAGTTTTGGTTTTTCTAACCTGCTTTACTAATATAAGACAGAACATGAAATCTTAAGTAAGGTCACTGAGCATGTCAAATTTATAACCCAGTCACTAGATATATCATCACACAGCATCATCCCAACTCATTTAGATTGCTAAAGAAAACCCCATCTCACAATCTTAATCCGGTTAGTTCACATTTTCAGTACTTTTTAGTTCATTCACCTCGCTCTTTAAGACTGATATTTACCAAAGCAAACACACGCAATCACTTTTTAGTGAGACTTAGTACCCAAGTCTTCGTGATACTATATAACCAAGAGCTAGAACGGCTGAAGAGAACTTTCACCTGTATACATGTTAATTTAGACACTAATCTGGCAGGCTATGCAGCACAGACAGCACGTCCTAAGAGAAGGCAGGTAGGGGCAGCAACTTGTATGCACAGATTCACTTTTTTTATCAACCGTGACCTCAGGGACATGCCGCCAGGTGAGCCCTCGCACGGGCACAAAGAGAAACGCGGAGCTGCGAGCAGGATTTTACGACCTTTCCCCCTTTTTGAACGCCTGCAATCACGCTACAGGGACGGCGAAAATAAAGAGAGCAACCGACTCTAGAGGCAGGGACAAAAAAAATACTCAAGAAAATAAACGCACGACTGAAAGGAAAGGAGACGTTCAGCTGCACCCATCGATGGAGGAATTTGGGGCGGG